TTTTTTAGCTATTTGAGAGCCAATTCTTGAAGAAATTGTCGTGTTCTTGAGCGTTTACTAGTTCACTCATATCTACTCTTTGTGAGAGTTTTATTCCTGAGTGTTTAAGTGTCTTCATACACTTTAAGGGAGGTTGTTCCCTTGTTGTAAACTCGAAGGAAATTACTTGTTCCTTCGTGAGAAGTCTTGGAGTGCGGTATCTCCGAGTAAAGGTGTTGAGGCTCGTGTGACTCGGGTTCTCAAGTTGTATCGGTTTATTAAGCACCCTTAAGCTTAATGGAGTTAGTGTAGCTCGAGAGAGTCTCTCGGGGGGCTGGATTAGCCACACGCTGTGGTGAACCAGGATAAAATCCGGTGTGCTCCTTCCTTACGCTCTTTACTTTAACGCTCTCGTTTTAATTTCCTGCGATTTTGTTTTAAACGCTATTCACCCCCCCCTCCAGCGTTGGGCCTTTATTCTAACAATAACAATATAAAATGTAATAATTAGTATGGAGCATACATTTAAAATTCTCAAAATTTATGTGGGGGGCAACTATGCTCAGGGTAAATGCATCAGGTAAAGGAGGCGTGTGCAGTACCTAAGAAAAACAATGCTACGTCTAAAAGAAGGAAATCCTAAAATATGACTGCACACCAACCTCGACCGACAAAAAAGGAGACTCAAAGAGGGACTCTGTAAGAGAGGTGGATTGGTAATCTTCCCATACGAATCCAGACTAGTTAGAAGGGAGGATCTAGTTTCTCAAATAAAAGCACAAAGGGGTAAGGTATCAAACTATGGAGTCCTTTACGAACCTCCAATAGTTGTGTCAAACTCCAAAGTCTTCATCAAAATCCATAAGGATACAAGATTTGTGGAAAGTCTAACTTGAAAGAAGAAGAAAACCCAATTCAAACAAATACCTGCAATTAGCGCAGAGAGCGTGGTCAGTTATTTCTCCTTTGAATTTGAATAGTGGTCTTAAAGCAGCCAGCCATGAAACGAGCCTCTTCCATACAGACCATCTTTTTGATTTTTGAACGGCGCACCATAGCCGACGGAACCCTAGAGCAGAAGAGACGAGAGCAAATTCTCACACCATTGAATACATCTATGACATAAAAGTCTGATCCACAAAATTGTTTAAGAATGATGGATTCATGAAGAACAGATAATGAAGGGAACTAATACGAGGATGCATACACATAAGGAAATGATAAAGCTTGTGATACTGAGAAGCACAAATTGTGTCCCTAAAAATTAGGAACAATTGAGTAGAAATAGGCGTGATATAAGACAAAGGCCAGGAGTTACTAAAATGCCCAAAAAATATTAAAGAGAAACATTAAGATTGATGAGATCGAACGGTTAAAAACTATTCTCATTTCTTTCATTAGATCTTATTCTTATTTGAACCAAACTATATATATATATATATTGGTTCTAGTGAGAATGTGATCTTATGAAAGAAATAAGAATGAATCTGGTGCTTTAGATTGTGAGATCTAAGGGTCAAGATTGCATCAGAATTAGGTGCACCAAAAAGGTTTGAAAATGCGTCATGTCGAAATGCACCAAAATCCTTTGAAAATGCACTATCTTAAAATCTGAGCGCAGGGCTCACTATCCCATCCTAAAATTCTATCATGGTATCAGAGCAGGTTCTGGGCCACCTCGTTTGTCAAGGTGTCCGTCTAGACGTTCATTCCTAGCGGCCCGTTAGTCTTTAGCTCAGTTGTCCGTATGAAGTATGTACCCAACGACCTGTGGCCCGTTTAACACGATTGCTCGTCTGGAAGTACATACCCAGCGGCTCGTGTTCCTTTAAGGTGTTGATACTCAAAAAAAATTCAAGGGAATGAGAGTTTATTTACAAGTGGTCACCTGGTTAGATTCAAAATGTCCCGGTTGTCCACTTGAAGGGGAGTGTTAGAGTGTCATCCCACATTGGAAGTTCAAGAGCAAACTAATCGGGATATAAGCTCTTAAGTTGAACCAACTAATCGATTGGATTCAATCTTTTAATGTGGTTCAACCCAAATGTCTTATTGTCCAATCCAGTTTTCTCTATTCCATCCTAATGTGGTGTGTGTGTGTGTGTGACGCCCCGAAAATAGACCTATTAGAATTAATTAATTGATAATTAATTAATTACTGAGAAGGGCCCAAAAATAGATGAATTATAAAGTTTGTCCATAAATAATGAAAATTATATCATTGTGTAGAGTTTGACTGTCTGGCCACAACGGTTCAATCAGATTCCAATTTGGAGAAAGTTGGACCAAACAGTGTACCCCAACTGGGACTGAAATTAGTCCCAATCAGGGACTACACTCCAAACGACGCTGCTGTTCGAACGGCGCACTAGTCACACCAAATCTTCACAGAAATTTCACAAAGCTGGCTTCTTCCCCCCTTTTCCTATTATATAAGGAAACCTATCTTCCTCTATTCTTCACCAAAACACTCCATATTTCCTTCTATTCTGCTGCCCTGAGAGAGAAGAACACACTGGTGCTTTCAATTTCGTGAGAGGTTGCCGGAGTTGGGAGTTATCATCACCGGAATTTTCGCTGGAAAATTCTCAAAACCTTCGTTTAACTTCGAGATAAGCCCGTAGATATATCTAATGACTAGAATGTTCATATAGATCGTTTTTACGTTCATAAACGGTCATTTGGTTGAGTTTTGTGTTTGACATGCATGAAGAACCAAGAATCATAAACCTTGAAATTGTTGTTAAAACTTCGAATTAATGGCATTTAAATGATCTATGAACATTGGAGAACATTTCTATAAAGTTTAATGGATGTTTGGTGGCTAAAAATGATTTTTCGAAAATCTGACCCAAGGTTGAAGACGAAGTACTGTTGCTGTTATGCAGCAACGGTCGACCGTACCGTCAGCACGGTCGACCATTACCGGACCAGTAGCTTCAGTACAACGGAGGCAACGACGGTCGACCGTCACCTGAAACGGTTGACCGTTCCGAACACAATTAGCTACGAAAATGCTATTTTTGGGTTCTAAAATCCTATTTTTGATACCAATTGATTATGATTATTATAAAAATGATTTTCACAATAAAAATGATGTTTTTAACAAATTAAAACATTATGTGATGCATGACGGTAAGTTCGGGTGTTAACACTCGAGACTAGGCCGCTATTTGTTATTGAATGTATGTTGATTGATCATTACAATGAATAATTATTATGGATGATGGTGAATGATAAAGCTACTGATTAGGATGATTATTAATGATTAAAAATGAATATAATGGTGATCATGAAACGGGTGAATTGTTAAGGCTATCTCGAAGACCTCTAAGATAGACCTCAAATTAGAATGGGCCTTGCGGGTATAAACATGTATATTCGGTGGCCTTGGGTAAAAACATACGTACGGGATCCATAAACCAAACTAGAGGAACTCGTTTGGGGATACCACCCAACCCGACAGTTAGTATTCTGTTGTTCGGTTTTCTGGATTTGTACCTTAAGCGAAGGCTAGTTTAAGAGTTGGTAAATCAATCGGAATATATGTACCTTAAACTAATGACCTAGCTTAAGAGTTGGATAGAAGTACCTTAAACTAGAATAAGTTTAAGAGTTGGTAATTATCACAAAATTGGCCTTAGACTAAGCATAGTTTAAGGATATTATTGAATATTGAATGTGAATGTTGATTATTGAAATATTGAAATAAAAATATTGATAATATCATGAATGACTTATTATTGTGTGCATGATATCAAATGATTGTTTGTGAATTGAGATTCAATTTGTGTGGATGTTCGACGCTTTAGATATGCTTACTCAGC